CTGAGGTACATGGTGCACTTCAGTGGTGGAAACAGGCATTAAAGGGTTACAAAATCAGGTTGGAAACCAGTTTGATTTGGTTTATTTTGGTTTATTTGCGTTATTCCTTGACATTTCTGAAAGAACCATCGCACTCAGAACTGCCATACCACCCAGGCGTGAAAATTTGTGGCAGGAAGATACCTGAATGCGGGCATGTTTGGCTATCTGTGCAAAAACATGCCCGAACCAACTCATGGGGTGGTAGGTCACATCATGACTTGGTTGCTGGTTTGACTAACACTAAACAATGCTCAAAGAATCATTTGCCGTACTCAGAAATGCCATACCACCCAGGCGTGAAAAGTTGTGGCAGGAAGATACCTGAATGCGGGCATGTTTGGCTATCTGTGCAAAAACATGCCCGAACCAACTCATGGGGTGGTAGGTCACATCATGACTTGGTTGCTGGTTTGACTAACACTAAACAATGCTCAAAGAATCATTTGCCGCACTCAGAACTGCCATACCACCCAGGCGTGAAAAGTTGTGGCTGGAAGATACCTGAATGCGGGCATGTTTGGCTATCTGTGCAAAAACATGTAACAACCAACTCATGGGGTGGTGGGTCACATCATGACTTGGTTGCTGGTTTGACTAACAATAAACAATGCTCAAAGAATCATTTGCCGCACTCAGAACTGCCATACCACCCAGGCGTGAAAAGTTGTGGCAGGAAGATACCTGAATGCGGGCATGTTTGGCTATCTGTGCAGAAACATGTAACAACCAACTCATGGGTTGGTAGGTCACATCATGACTTGGTTGCTGGTTTGACTAACACTAAATGATGCTCAAAGAATCATTTGCCGCACTCAGAACTGCCATACCACCCAGGCGTCAAAGGTTATGGACAATGGATGATTGTGGCGCTTGTTTGCACGGGGTCCATTCCTCACTATAAGCCAACCAAACTTCATTGGGCAACTGAAGTTTGGAGCAACTAATGATCTCAGTGCCAACACAACACAAGCAAGCCATGATTGATTACACTACCAATACATGAACCAATAATGCATAAAGGGCTTCAAGATGTCATGTCATGAAAGTCAAAATAGCTCTGGAATTGATGTCATGTCTTCTTTACTTACCACCCAAGTAATGATTCTGATTTGTGGATGACATCGAAGTCACTGTTGGTATATGATTGTTGTGTATTATGCAAGCAACAACCGTCATGATCCAATACCATAAAAAACGCTCACACAAAAAAAAACCCTTTTCATCAATGAATAGCATGTTACTACTCAATTCACACTCTTCAATAATCACTTCCATATCATTATCCAACCCCATCAAGATGTATAGTTCATTGAAAAGGCAATGCAAGAATTTGCTGACCAGGGAATCGCAAGTACAACATCCATCCGCCATGTGTTTACCACCACTTCAACACCCTAGTCTTTCTATTCATGTTTGCCGGATTTTCAAGCACTGGTAGAGTTGCTCTGTTTCTGCTTCAATTTGGCAAGTCTTCAACTCAATTTGGATCTGTCTAACTTACAAGTGACATGTCTTAGAATGTTATTATCAGCTCCCCCAAAAACAACATCTATGCGTCCAAATCGGTGTCAAACTTGTGCTTATTGAATTCTTCTGGGCGGTCTTTATGGTCGAGAAGTGGAACCCAAGCAAAATTCTTATCACGCCATGCAGGCGTGATAAGAATTTCGCACTAAATATAACAAATTATATATTCTTTCTTTGGCCGTGAATACATAGACAGTATAAAGTGGAACAAATATTCACTTTATCAAGGTGTTCAATAACAAGCATTGGGAAACACAAGGACAAGTAATCATCACCTCGGCAACTGGAGTTGTACCTCAGTTTTCAGTGACACATCCTGACGCTCCTCTTGAAAAGAAGATACGCCAGAACCCATGAGCTGATCTACAGATTAATATATATCTAATTGGCTACTGAGCT